TGGGACCGCGGCTTTTGACAAATTTGGACACATCGTAATCCTGAGTGCTTTGTGTTATCGCTGCCGTTATCCCCTCCTCTTCCGTCCCATAAGACGTCGATATGTTTGACGACTAAATCCAATGACAAAACAATTGCAAAATTAATAATTTATACACAAAAACAGACAATCGATGGCAAAAATATAATCATTACTTTTGTTATATTCAACACTTCTTTATGCGACGGACTGTTGGCCTACAAAAGCAAACATACAATTAAATACACCATTAGATCATTGATTGGCCGACAAAAAAAACAGATCAATCAATCGGTTAAAAAGTGGCCACTATTTTGAATAAGAGGTAACAATAAAACTACATTTCGTACGCCTTTTGATGCGTTAGCGTCGAGTCGATCCCTAAAGACAGTCAAAGACAGACAAACACAACAACAAAAACCAAACGTTAATTCATTGATCAAATGCAGTGGTAGTGGAGGGCTATGTCTTACGCGTACCACGACTTCTTATGGTTGCCACTCACGGGAACTCTGGCCACTTCTACCGACGTGTTCTTCGGGATGAGCGCCGCGTCCGAGTCGTACACTATATGGCAAACAACGAGACAATCAATAGGCGATGGCCTCGAGTGGAAGGGAAGAGACAAGAGTTTCATGTGATTGTGTCATACCTTCGCCGGTCTGAGGGTTAGTGATCTGGAGGTCGAGATCAGCTGATTTGCCGATCTTTCTCTGTGCCATAATAGCCTTCTTGAGGTCCGACACCGAGATGTGGAGGCCGTCGAAGATGACGGTGTGTTTGTCCCGCGAGCTCTTGAACTTGTAGTGAACAGACATCGCAAACGAGTGGTCGGATCTGATGTCTGATATGAGCGGATGATTGGCGGTGTTTGGCGTGCAGTCAGTGGTCAGCAAAACATAACACAACTCTTTGATTGTGTTTATAATTACGAACTGATTGTGTGTTTAACTGTTGATAGCGTTGTCGTCAGTGAATGCCATTGTATTGCTGGACATGCGATCACGTGATGCACAATATGGCCGACACCACAGCCAATCGATGCGCACCAATAACCGCTTATCTGCTGCTAATAGTGTTACCGCAGTTTTGGGCCTTTTTATATCAACAGTGTATAGTGTAGTCAATGGTATATATGTTTTGTTAAATAGTACTTGTATTCAATGATAATTTGTTTGGTTTTGTGTTTCAATTGAAATATTACTGAAACGTAATGTAATTTTTTAACCCAGAATTCAAGACATAAATTACGTGCAAATTGACAATTAATGCATACGTTATTCATTAATACGTATTAACACTGATTTAATCTGATGTATGTGTAAATCAAATCTGGTTTTTCAGCATAATTAATGAAATTCATGTACGATTAAAATATAGGTTTTATTAGATAATTGTTACTATATAACTTTTATACAGGTGTAACATGCAGCATTATGCAATTAATAGTATTACATAATTATTAATACCTTTATGACTTTACGATTTAGCTTGGTACAAAACTTTGCATGCTACATAATTGAAGCAATTTAAAAAGCATTTAGCTATTAATAGGTGTATTTTAAAAGTAAATTTTATTTTTTTTTAAAGTTATGCAAATAAGAAGTAGCTATGATAATAACAGATTGTAAAAATTTTGATCTAGCTCTATGTTATTTAAATATATGGCTACTAGACATCTACCAGACAAATAAGCTTCCAAAATATTTTATTGACATTAAAGTTCAATGTTTAAACAATGCAACTATTATTATGTCCACTCGTTTAGGCACTTAATGTGGCTGAAGAATAGCGGCATAATTATAGACAAGTCCGCCGTCGATCACCAAATTAGTTCCCGTTATGAACTGTGCGTCAGTGGAGGCCAGGAATGCCACCCCTTTGGCCACATCTAACGGTTCCCCTAATCTTCTTAATGGCGTTATTTTCTCCAAATAATCCATTTCTCCGGCCGTCGGCTCAACACAATCCTCGCATTCGGTTACTATGAGTCCCGGACTGTTGTGTGTCAGCAAATGTTTAACAATATTTAGCTCAAAATATTTTTGTAATTTAATTATTAGTTATTAATTAAATTTTTAACAAATTATAAATTACTTGATTGTGTTCACACGCACTCCTTTGGGCCCCAATTCCAGAGCCAACACTCGGCCCAACATATCGAGTGCCGCTTCGGCCGAACCGTAGGCCAGATATGGGCCGAGCTTTAAGTGTATGTTTTGTTAGATAATTATAATTTTTAATATTTTCAAAGTTATACGAATTACAGGTGCGATTGCTCCGATGGTCGATATGTTAATAACGGTTCCCTTTGTCTTCGCGAGATGTGGCACCGCGTGATGGATGAGCTCAACGACGGCCCGGAGGTTAACGTTAAACACTTGATCCCAAACTGTCAATAGGTTCGGTCGCCAGATGTCTGCGTCGGGACTGATGTCCACCGCATTGACCAACACATCTATTTTACCGAAATGTTTCGCTGTCTTCGCTATGAGTTCCTTCAGATCAGCACTTTTGGTGAAATCCATTGTCACATTCAGAGGCTATCGAAGAGATTGTGACAAACATTTACTTTAATTATCCATTGATTTCTTCAACTATACCTTCAATTTATACGGCGATAACTGTTGTACTTCTTTGGCCACCTCTTTGACAACTGTCTCATTCCTACCGGTGATGACCACATGAGCGCCTAATATGGAGAATAGTTTGACAACACTCTGGCCGATGCCCTGACAGGAACCGGTCACCACCACTACCTTTCCCGTCATGTTTCTCGAGTGCATCACATCCTTATAGTCATGGATAGGGAAGTCGTTTTGATTTGCCTTTACTATCGACACAAACGCCACCAAAACAATGATTTTCATGTTTGTAATTGACATTATGGTAATTGTAGTTTGAAATTAGTTTCATTGCCATTTAATAACTTATTTTTGATACCCTTTTATAGCATCAAAGTGTGTTATCATTTGTCTCTCTGTATAGTTCTTGATGTTTATAAATGTGTTGTTTTTCTCATAGGAATTGTGAGAAAATTTATTGAGATTAATTTATTGTTTAGTAAAATATTAATAAGTGATTATTAATAATAAATATATATTCTGATCAATCAATTCATATTCAATATAACTTATGGTTCATAAGATTGAGAGATAAAACAAATGTTTATTACATAACATTGTGTAATAATATTTATTTAACAACTACTGGAAGTAAGTTTAATTTTTAATTTTCCACAATTTTATTCTTTATAATTAGATTTAAATTAGATTTACTCGAAAATAATGTGTAATTAACCAAAAAGTGCTCCAATGTTATAGACGAGTCCGCCGTCTACTACCAGATTAGCACCGGTTATAAAGTTAGCATCACTTGAGGCCAGGAATACCACCCCTTTGGCGATGTCCAGGGGTTGACCGAATCGTCTCAAAGGTGTGCTTCCCGGGACATCATTAGCACCCGATTTGGTCACATCCGTAGCACCGGGACTGGGATTTTGATCAAGATTTTGGTTTAATATTTATAAATAATTAAATTATAGACAATTAAAAAATACTTCAAAGTATTGACACGAATGCCTTTGGGACCCAACTCTAGTGCCAACACTCGTGTTAACAT